CAGCCAGCAGTTCAGCAACAGCGCCCCCCAGAGGGAACAGCCAGCAGTTCAGCGTTACAGACTCAGACACTGGGCTACTATATATATGATGTGAACATATTAAGTTTGATACCTGCACAAATACATGTATCTAGTTCTGCTGCCCCCGCCAAGGAAGCAAAAAGCGATGTGAAATCTAGCTCCATTTAGGTGCAAATCAAGAGGTTTAATGGTCACGTCAGCTAATGAGAGAGGGAACAGCCAGCAGTTCAGCGTTACAGACTCAGACACTGGGCTACTATATATATGATGTGAACATATTAAGTTTGATACCTGCACAAATACATGTATCTAGTTCTGCTGCCCCCGCCAAGGAAGCAAAAAGCGATGTGAAATCTAGCTCCATTTAGGTGCAAATCAAGAGGTTTAATGGTCACGTCAGCTAATGAGAATGGACCTTTTCTTGGAAAATAACTAAACTGCAGACGGCAAAGTTGGTTCAAATGGAGGATTTAAAATTGAGGCTTTCCACTCGGGGACTCACATCAATCCGCCCTGGCTGGAGAACGCCACCTCTCCGGGCAGCCACAGCAAGGGCCAAGAATAAAGGCCAGTCTCCTGGCTCCCAAACCTCATGCTATTTTGGTGCCTTTCCTGTGGTTTCTGACACGTCTGGGGTTAGCCACCCTTGTGTTTGGCTGGGGATGCAGGGAGGGAATGGTGGGTTTGCAACGTGTCCCGTCACAGACCTCCCACTGTCCTGGGTCTCGTCACGCCTGGGTTTGGCCACCGAGGCCACGGTGCCGGCAGCTCTAATGAGCCCCGAGGGGCTGGCCCAGGACGGGTTGGAAGCTGATTGGTTATCAGGGAGGGGCCCTGCACTCTCCTGACTGGGGAGTGGAGGCAGCAGGGCTCAGGGCAGCATGGGCACCTCTCCAGGGCACTTGGAGCAGTCGTCCCATACACAGGCCTAGGCCTGGGTTTGGCCACCGAGGCCACGGTGCCGGCAGCTCTAATGAGCCCCGAGGGGCTGGCCCAGGACGGGTTGGAAGCTGATTGGTTATCAGGGAGGGGCCCTGCACTCTCCTGACTGGGGAGTGGAGGCAGCAGGGCTCAGGGCAGCATGGGCACCTCTCCAGGGCACTTGGAGCAGTCGTCCCATACACAGGCCTAGCGCATCCCCCTGGGCAGGCCGGTCTGACCAGCGGAGATGGAGCAGGAAGTGCACAGTCTCGCTCCCTGGAGGGAGCCTGGATCCCAGTGGACATGCAGTGTCTGGGATCCCAGCAGCCAGCGCCGATTAGCCCTGGGGACGAGAGCAGGGTGAGCCAAGCAGTGGGCGAGCAGCGACATGCAAGGGACCTGCCCGGCGTGGGCTTAGGGCCTCAGCCACCAGGAGGGGCTTGGCTTCCTTTCCTCCGTCCAGTAGCGGGCCCATGGGGGTTCTGGTCCCCAGCTGTCAGTGCTTTCCCATTGTTGGCGCCATGACCCGGTGCCCCAGCCCCGCACCAGTCTCCTTCATGGTCTGCCTCTCAGCTGCCAGACCCACTTCCCCCTCCTGCTGCTTGCGCCCAGTGCGATCCCAGTGTGCCCCACCCGCACAGGCCAGCAGCCGCCCAGCGCTCCCGGGCCGAAGCAGGGTGGCCCTGGAGCGGTTCCGGCGCACAGCCCCTCTCTCGGAAACAGCTGTTCCTTTTTGGCAGAAAGTCTCAAACAACCCTGCCTGAGGCAGACCCAGGACAGAAGCTCTCAGACCGAAAGGCGAAAGTCTGGCACTGTCACAAGCGCCGGGAGGCAGAGTCCTGCCGGGAGAACTGTCTGGCCAGCTTTGCAGGTGGGGCTAGTCTGGGAACACTGATGCTCCAAGACTGAGCTACGCCGGCAAATGGCTCCCCCAGCAAGTAATCTGCAGCATCTGAGGTTTCATTGCAGAAGCTGAGACACCAGGCGCAGGCAGCCCCCCCAGGCTCTCGTTACCTTCATCCTCTGTGTTCTGCTTCCGCTTTTTCCTGGACTTGGAATTCTTCTTGGTTCTCAGGTCCAGAAGTTCCTTCATGCGCTGGGCAACTGAAAGTCCAAAGCAGGGTTCAGTGAGTGACCCTTGGCCCGGCCACACACGGACCCAGCAGACGGCACGGGACGGCACCCAGCCTGCCCTGGGGCCAAGGAAGGGTTAGCCGAGAGCCATGGCTGGGAGACAGGGAAGAAGAGAATAATGTCTACGTAACATGCAAGAGGCCTGAGAACCTTGGGTCATGACCCTGGAGGATACGAGTTCCAGTTCTCACTGGACTCCACCGAATACAAAGGCAGCACAAATCTCCTTCCACAAGCTTGTCTTCCGGCACCCTGGCCCCAAGCGCTGTCTGAGCCCCTGCTTGCGATCCCCGGCCCTGCGGCTCCAGTGGCTGCGCAGTGGGCATCCTGCAGAGCCGGCTTACAGAGGCCCCTGGTTGTTTCTGCCTGCGGGGAGCTCGGCACACGCGAGAAGAGCTAACACGTCCGGCTCCAGCTAGGAGGGCGTTTGTGGGGAAGCCAATGCCGACTCTGGACTCTGCCCCCCCTCACCATGGGACCAACAGCTCCAACAAGCATGCGAGGTCTAGAAAACCTCCGGGAACCCTGAAAAATGGGGGCTCTTTAGTCAGGAGAGAAGGCAGAGGGGCCAGGGTCGCAGCTCTCAGCACCTCAAGGGGTGCTCCAAGGAGGGAGACGAATTGTTCTTGTCAAGCTCCAAGGCCAGGGCGAGAAGGAAATGCAAAGTGCTGACACTGCAGCGGGGGGTCAGGTTGGACATTAGGGAACACGTCCTGTCAGGGTGGGCAAGCCCTGGGATAAACTGCTTAAGGAAAGTCTCCGAGGGGAGCTAGGTCAGGCTGTGTCTGCAGAAAGGGGAGTCCTGTGGCACCTTAGGGATGAATAGATTGATTTGGGCATTAGCTGCTTCATCGGGCGAACTGAAGTGAAGTTTGCAGAGCGCTAGGTGGAGACACAAGCACCAGAAAAGCAAGAGGCTCCTTGTCTAGAGGAGACTAGTCAGGTCAGGGTGGCAGGGGCTTGTTGACAGCAGGCGACGTGGATACCGAGAGGGGGAAACTGCATTTCTAGTGTGTGAACCCAGTTAAGAGCCCTCTTCCCTCCCGGGGGCTCTGCCTCATTACGTCCACGCCAGGCGCCTGAGGAAGGGGCTTCACCCGCGGACACCGATGCCCAAATCAAGCTGACAGTCTCCCAGAAGCCCAGGCTGTTTGTGCCCGAGGGAGCTGGGTAATCTTTAGACACGCACCTCTCTGGCACGGGCTAGAATCCTACAGCTTCTGGCTGCACTTGAAATGTGAGCCCCTGTGACTTGCCCTCCCTGACCATCCCAGGCTGGCAGCAGAGGGGCTGTACGTGGCAGAGGGCAAGAGGCACAAGCTGTGGCTCTCTCAGCAGCACCCACTGCCCCCCGAGGCCCTGCCCCCATGTCTGCAGCAAGGGCAGTGGGCGCTGCTGTGAGAGCCTGTCCCTGTGGGTGCATCTGGGCTGCGTCTCTTCACAAGCCTTCGCACTTTGCTCTTACGCGCCTCCGCGTGCCCAGAACCGCGCCCGGCTGTCACGCTGGCCTGGGGCTTGTGAGCGGGCAGGTCGCTCAGAGCACTGCTGATGGGCCCAGAAACCCTTCCTTGCTAGCCCTGGGGCTCAGACTCTCCGGGAGCCCCCGGAATGGGGGAGATGCTGAGGGGCGGCGGTGCCAGCTGCACCAGCTCTCGCCAGTCGTTAATATCCCTCAGCCCCTCCCTCAGAGGACAGACCAAATTCCACATCAGAGACCCCAGTGGAAATCTGCAATCCAGGGGAGTTGCTCCACATTCACCTCAGCATGCGGCTGTGTCTACACGAGCCCTTTCGTCAGTCGGGGTGTGAAAATCCCCGGTTGAGCGACGTAAGTTTCACCGACAAAAGTGCCAGTATGGACAATGCTATGTTGTCTATTGGGGGTGGCTTAATTATGCCAATAGGAGAGCTCTTTTCTGTCAGCAACTCAGGAGACCCTACATCTGTGTCACTCTAAGGTCTGTAATGTAGACATAAGAGAGAGAACCTAGGAGCTAAAGAAAGCTTAGCATCACCTCTCAAGGCCTGATAGTGCCTCATACCACATATCTGCTTTAAAGCCCATGGAAGAGAATGAAAAATCTGCTGTGACTTTAGATGCTTTGGATTGAACCCCCATCCTTTCCTCCTGCTGGTGGACTTACTGGTGCCGTCGTTGGTCTGGTCGAGATGGCCGTAGATGTAACCTTCCAGGTAAGACTGAAACTTGGGCGATGGGGAAAAAAAGGCCAGACTGATGGCCAGGAGTTCCCAGCCCCCGGCCAGGCTGCGGTAGCACCCGTTGTCCGTGGTCTGTCTGATCAGCTGCATGTAGAGCTCGTCCCGCAGGCCCTGCGTGCTCCAGCACTTGGTGACTGCGAGCAGAGCCACCTGGTCTCGGTCCAGGCGGGCCTGGCGGTCGCCCATGTAGATCTGCACCAGTCTGAACAGCTCGCAGGCTTCCTTCCTCCCGGCGTGGCTGCTGGCGACCAGCATCGGCTTCCTGATGGGGCCGCCGCTCCAGGAGAGCATGGTGGCGAGGGAGAGCCGGCGGCGGAAGAGGCCCTGCGTGTGCAGGTTCAGGTTCTGGGAAGCCCAGGCTGCCATGCTGCTGGGGGAGAGGGGCTGCCGCAGCGCGGGGCAGGGAAAGCGCTGGCCCGGGCAGGCCGGCAGTGGCGTGGGCTCCGACACCAGCGTCCCAGGCTGCAAGGAGAAGAGACGTGGGATCTGAGAGGGGCAGTTACCAGCATCGGCTGCCTGCCCTGCAGGGCCCAGCCTTGTGAGCACAGCACACGCGGCTGGATGTGGCCTGGCTGGGCTCTGACCCACGGACAGCTCCTCGCCCAGCCCCCGCTCCTCACCCA